AAAAAAAAAAAAAAAAAAAAAAAAAAAAAAAAGAGAGTACTGGAGAGGGATCCTTGGTATCACTGGTCGCCCAAGTGTCAGGGTGTCATTGTCTACACCGTTATGGACCAGGCTCCTTGAAACATCAAAGAAACACAAGGAGCAAAATTCAACTGCATAGATGGAAGAAGGCATACTTTTTTGTTTGAAATAACTATGACCGCGTCATACTCTTTAGTTCCGTTTTTCAACCGAAATAGGTTTTTGACTGTCATTTGTCTAGCATCCAACCTCTACAACAACCTGGACTTTGTAAAAAAACGGGGTAACTTCAGTAGAGTCACAAAAACGAGTTCTAATTGCATTATGGGGCAAGAAACAGTTTGGAATTGCACTTTGGATGCTACCTGGCCATAAAGCTGGGTTGTATACACTGCCCGAACTGCATTTAGAAACTGTATCTTGGCCCATAGTGCAATTATAACTCATTTTTGTGACTCCAGGGTAGCCCCACCCCCAAGAAAAAAAGGTTCTTGCAGTCTACTGCCCGGAGGACTTTTAACTGCAATTTGGTTGACTAGGTTTCGGCAGAGTTGTGTCAGTGGCCATGTCGCCCAGGGTCTTGTAGGCCCTGGCCCTTCACTTACTGATGAATTTTTTCCCATGGCAAGTGAAAGGGCCAGGGATACCGGCTGAGCCTGACTGTGATTTGGGCCATATTCAGGCCGGCCTTGACCTCTCATGCCCCTCATGCCTGGGCCACGGCCGAGATGTCTCCGACACACCCTACATGGCATTTTTGCGAAGCCTATGCGACTGGACTACATTTAAAACTCAGCCTGCGACTACACTGCAAAAGTTGTCTTCGATCTGCCTAATCCCGAATGGTGGCTCTGGTCCTCTTCCTGCAGCCATTTTTGCAGAAGAGAATTTCTCTCTTTCTTTGGAGGGGTGTTTTGGGGGCCTGGCGACAGATGTTGCCTGATAAGGCTTTTTTTTTTTTTTGGCACTCAGTCTGGTCTTGCAATATGATCACCTGCTGTCACAAAATATATTTGGAAAATTTGAAAACGATTATATAGTGAGCTCGAATGATCAACCGTGTTCCCTTGTGGGTTCAGTCTTTGTCTGCTGGGCAGGCATACATGTTGGAGACCATTTGTGCAGTGTTGCTGTGGGTTATTTGCAGACAGAGAAATGAAGTCGAAAGGCAGCACGTTGCTCTCTCTTTTTTTTTTCTCTTTTTTTCCCTTTTTTGGGGAAACTACATGGGAGTCACAAAAACGAGTTATAATTGCAGTATGGGCCAAGATACAGTTTGGAATTGCAGTTCGGGCAATGTATACAACCCAGCTTTCTGGTCAGGTAGGGTGCCTGACGTGCAATTGCAAACTGTATCTTGCCCCATACTGCAGGTATAACTCATTTTTGTGACTCGACGATGGGTGTAGAAGGGGTGCTGATAAGAGCACACACCCATTCTACAGGCCCCGCTATTGGATGGCTCCGTTCCATTGGTGGGGGGAGCTGCACCTGCTGGAAAGCGGGTCCAGCGTCCCGTCACAGCATTATAAATGAGCCAAAGTTACAGATTTTACAGGTTCTACCTGTGTCCACATTCACATCAGGTGGACCCCTTAATGAAGAAGGTTCCCAGTCCCCATATATCTCCAGTGATCAGTCTGAGCACTGTTCCCGGAGAGAGCCAGCAGCAGGAAGTCACCAAGTTCATAAGTGAGTCAAGGATGCTGCTCTTGCACATATTGTACCCTTTGCATGCCGTCTGTCCAATATCCCTTGTCTGTTGTTGCTCTGGTCCTCATACCGGTTGTTCACCACAGTGGCCTGAGGACATTGAATTGTCCCCATCGTCTGCAGCGGCTGTAGAGACGGCGGGATGATAGAGGATCAGGGGGCGGGAGGGGGGTCCAAAAGGGGATGGTGGCAAGGGGAGCGGGTGGGAAGCGGGATGGGTTACTCCAGGGCGGGGGCAGGGGCCATGGTGTGATGGGGGTTCTGAGATATCAACAAAAAGTTGGTCGGGAGGTACGGGACTGCAAAGTCTTCCAGGGTTCTTCTTTGCCAGGAGGGTTCATCTGCCCTCCAATTTTTCGATCGTATGTTGAGGTCATCTAGCAGTTCAGAGAAGGCATGGTGCGGACCCTGCCAGATCTGGCAGTAGGATTCCCGCAAAGCTTACCTGAGAGTGAGGTCTCTTTCGTCGTGATAGTTCTGTTTCATGGTCTTCCAGGCATGTTGTGTGCGGGATCTGATCTCTTCTTCTATCGCCTGTTGTGATCACTGCAGACCGAATTGGTGGTCTTTTCTCTCAAAGGAGCACCTGGCTCTCCAGGCTTGCATGAGGACGTGTAGCCTCATATATGAGAAGAGGTCGGTGGCAAACAGAGTCCAGTGCGGTAGTAAGTTTTGATTTTTGCCCAGCAGGATGAGGCCCAGGTCCCAAGGGATATGGATGTTCATGAGCAAATGGAATGCCGCGTCCCACCGCCTCTATATTTGGGCAACCATCGGGCACGCCAGCAGGCAGTGCTAGAGTGTTGCCCTGGCTGGCTGTATCGCCCTGCCACAATAGGTGCAGATTGGGGACAGTAGGCCTTTTTGCTCAAGGTCTGTTCTCGAGGCGAGCCAGTCAGGGGTGGGGAGACAGCGGTGTAAGATTTGACATTGTAGGGACCTGAGGCTTGTGGGCATTAGTTTGGCATACTTGGTCCAAGGGAGGCTGTGCAGCAGCTGTGGATTCACTAGTGAATCTCGCTCCCATCTCTGTGAGATCGTCTCTCCAATCTGCTGCTGTGGACAAGCTGCTTTGTACCCCCCTTTAACAGTGTCATCCCAGATGTGCATGGTTTGTTGGCCCGTCCCTGGGGGCATGAAACCTGGTAGAGAGATCTGGGGAGTCGTCGAGGGTGGAAGGCGCTCTACTGTCTGTTGGTGGGCTGGTACTTAATCAACGCTGGCCGGAGCCGGGGCGGGTCGCTCTGCCCTG